AACTCCTCCAGCTTCTGGCAATTACCAAGGACCACGAATTTGGGTATTCTAAGTATCACAGAAGCATACAGTATTTTAAAGTAGAATGATACAGCATTTATCTGCTGTGACTGGTTCATTTCACTTAGCATAACATCCTAAATGTCTGTTCATATGATAGCATATGTTCTAGTTTGCTTTTTGTTGTTGTGACAAATGCTATGACCAAAAGCCACTGGGACTGGACATGGTGGCAAACAACTTCAGATCCCAGCTGGCACATCTCTATGAGTTAGCAGCCAGCCCTGTCTACATAGAGTTTCAGGGCAGCCAGAGCCACATGTAAGACACTGTCTCAAAAAAGAAAAAAAAAGTCATGGGAGGTATTTCATGTTGTACTTCCAGTCCAACACTGAAAGTCAGAACAGGAACTTGAATCTGGAACCTGAAGTTCTGATTGCTTGCCATTCTGTGCAGTAATTGCCTGTGACCAAGGAAATCACTGGTAAAGGAGTACAGCAGGAATCATGGAAAATACTGCTTGCTAGCTAACTTATACACAAACTCATGCATAGGTGGCTTTCTTATACAGCCCAGAAACACCTGATAAGAGATAGTACAGTCCACAGACCTCCTATTTCATTAAGTAAGCAAAACAATCTCCCATAGACCAATTTGATAAAGATAATCACTCAACTGAGACTCCCTTTCCAGGTGACTCTAGGCCATGGCAAGTTGACAAATCCTAACTAGGCCAGCATAGTTCAGAATTTTCTTCTTTTGAAGATAAGGGCTGGAGCTGGGCAGTGGTGGCACAGGACTTTAATCCCAGCACTTGGGAGGCAGAGGCAGGCAGATCTGAGTTTGAGGCCAGCCTGGTCTACAGAGTGAGTTCTAGGACAGGCTCCAAAGTTACACAGAGAAACCCTGTCTCCAAAAAAACAAAAACAAAAATCCAAACTTGGAGCCGGGTGGTGGTGGCCTTGAATCACAGTACTTGGGAAGCAGAGGCAGGCGGATCTCTGTGAATTCAAAGCCAGCCCTGTCTACAGAGTGAGTTCCAGAACAGGTTCCAAAGCTATCTAGAAAAACCCTTTCTTGGGGAAAAACAAACAAACAAACAAACAAACAAACAAACAGATAAGGGCTGGAGAAATGGCTTAGTGGTTAAGAGCACTGGCTGCTCTTCCAGAGGTTTTGAGTTTAATTCCCAGCCACCACATGGTAGCTCACAACCATCTATAATAGGATTGGATATAATCTTTTGGCATGCAGATATCCATGCAAGAGACCTGTATATAAAATACAAATAAAATTTTTAAAAGTACATAATATGGCCTACTATGAATATTTTTCTTATCCATTTACCCACTGATATACTTGTTTGAGTTGCTTCTCTGTTTTAACTCTATTAAACAATGCTGCTATGAACACAGGTATCAATTCTCCTAAGTATACACTCAGGAGTAAAGTTACTAAACCACTTAATTCTAAATCTCATTTCTCTTTATTTTTTAATTCTCAAGACATGGTTTCTCTGTGTAGTTCTGGCTGTTCTGGAACTGGATCTGTAGATCAGGCTGGCCCCAAATTCATAGATCCAACTCAGGTTAACCCATGCAGCCTCAGGCTAGGGCTGGTAACCAGAGAGTCCTCATACATATCACTGCAAAGTTCAACTCCACCCTTGTAAAAGCATGCTGGTCAGAGAGAAAGTTTCATAACAGGTTTAAAACAAAAGATTTAATTACATTTATTCATCTCTTCTTCTGGCTGGGACACTTGTGTAGCATGTGTGTGGAAGTTAGAGGATAACCTGTGGGAGTCATTTATTTCCTTCTACCACTTGGGTCCCCAGGATCAAACTCAAGTTATCAAGCTTGGCAGCAAGTACCAGCCATCCATAAAAACTCTTAAATCAGATCTGATGCCTTTCCAAATTATTTAGTACCAATAGAAGTGCTGTGGTAATAAGGTCACAATGGAAGGAAATGGCAACATGGCTCTGAGTACTAACACTTGCTGTACAGTAATCTGCAGACCTTAGATTAGAATTCAATACCCAGAACACACAAAGGTAGAGGGACAGGGCTAACTCCACAAAGTTGTCCTCCAACCTCCACATACTTCCTCACTATGGACATGAATATACCCCAACAATTATTTAAAAAAAAAAAAAAAGAAGAAGAAGACAAGAAGACTGAAAAGATGGTTCAGTGGTTAAGAGCACTGACTGCTCTTCCAGAGGACCAGGGTTCAATTCCCAGCACCCACATGGAGCTCATTATTGTCTGTAACTCCAAGATCTGAGACCTTCACACAGACATATGAGCAGGCATAATACCAATGCACATGAAATAAAAATAAATTATAAAAAACAAATTAAAATGCATCATTTAATTATAAAAAGACAAGAAGGAAACAATGGGAAAAGGCGAAAACATGCAATATTTTAATCAGAATTTCTGGTTGAGAAATTACTCAATTGGTAAAAATTTTTACTATGCAAGTATGAGGACATGCCTTCACATTCCTAGCACCCATGTAAATGCTAGGCAATAAAGAAAGCCCTCTAACCCATCCCTGGGGGAGGTAGACACAGGTGGAATGTGGGAAGCTTGCTGGCCAGCCAGTCCAGTCAAAGCAGCAAGCTCCAAGTTTGGTGAGAAACTTTGTCTCAAAATATAAGATGGTAATAGAAAACACCTGATTTTGACTTCAGGTGTACATTCCTTTGTACACACGTGTAAGCCTTCATGCAAGTGTGTAGAAGCGTATACACACACTTGAGTGCACACACACAATCAGAATTTCTGCTGGAAAAATTAGATTTAATCTCTAAAAATATAGTAGCCACTGATGAGATGGCTTAGTGTATAATGGTGTTTGCAAACAGGCCTGATGACATGAGTTTGACCCCTGTAACCTTCATGGTGTAGAGACAACGGTCCCACAAGTTGTTCTCTGACCTTCACACATGCCTGTTCACACACAAACTCATGCACAAACACACTAAAGAGAGATAGATTAAAGGTAAATATAATAATAAGGTTATTTAAAACAGTATCTAATTATTTTTTGAGACATGTATTTCAGCTGTCCTGGAACTCACTCTGTAGACCAGGCTGGCCTTGAACTCAGAGATCTGCCTGCCTCTGCCTCCCAAGTGCTAAGATTGAAGTTGTGCAACACTAGGCTGGACTAGTGTATTTGATCTTAATACCATCTTAAATTATCTTTAAATGACTTAAGAGTTGCTGGCAATACTAATAGGAGCAGGAGCTGAAACTGCTTAAAATTACAAAGACTGTAAAATTACTTTTTTTTTTTTTTTTTTTTTTTGAGACAGGGTTTTTTTTTGGCTTTGGGGGCTTGTCTT